GCTCTTTCTCATCTGTTCACCACCTGCACAGTTCAGTGGAGGACGCTGAGGTCCTGGAGCTAGTGAAGTGACTGGTCCTTCGTACCATGGCACCAAAATAAAGTTTAAAATCGCTGCACTAAATGAAAGGGAGTCCCCTCCTCGTTCCCCACTACCTCTCCCCCCACTACCATCCCACCTGCCTACCCACAATCCCATTGGACTGTGATTTGAACAAGAACCATACGATATGCAATGGGTTTGCGGGGATTGTTTGTTACAGCTTATGCCCAACCTGACTACTGACTAATACACAGTATCACTAAGAGACGCCATCTGGGTCCTGATCTCCAAGCAGAATCTTCTCTATCTTGTTCTTGGGAATGGAAGTAGACATTCTTAGAGAGAAATGTTTCCTTGCATTTCCATGGAAGAGAGGGAATTTCCCAGGAAGGAAAAGTAAACTAGAAACTCTTAATGTTTCTCCCAAGGGGAAGACATAACATCGGGGCGTAGATGAAGGAACAGAGCCTGGCCCTGGTGAAGCCAGTTGGGCCTCCAGAAGCCGGCTTCTCTGCTCCTGCCCAGGGCAAGCTTGTAGCCGTGGAGGTCACGCTGTCCTTGCCGGCCTGCGCGTGACCAGGGGAGCCTCAAACTCGGGGGTTCTGTTCTAGGATTACCCACGACTTCGCCCCTACCGCGTATCTTCCAGCTCTTCTCGGATATGAAGCTAACATTTTTTATCTCTAATAACTGTGATTATCTCTCAGTGGGTTCCAAACTAAGAGGAGGAGAGCGATTTATCAACCCTCCATAAAACCAACAAAGACCAGGAAAGAAGCTGCTCTCTGTAGCGACGGCCCAGAAACAAGGCCAAGTTAGAAAAATAATTTTTAACAATAGAAGCAGGGTCATTTCAAGGGATTGGTTTTTTTAATGGGAGAAAAAAAGGAACTGAAATGGGGTGAGACACTAGCTGTCACCCTCGCTTCCCAACCAATTCCAGATTACTTTTACTTATTAACATCTGAGATTTCATTAGAGCACCGAGTTCCATATCTACAAATCATTTGAAAACCTCTGATTTAGACAGTCATTTAGGTACCCCCTGGCCTAAAGGATATTTAAGCTTATTAGAAAATGCAAAATTTCATTTCTCGGGATTTTCTTGCCAGCGATCATGGTCTGCAATGACAGATACTGGGATGCAGAGAGAAGCCTCGCAGTTGGCTTCTAAATCCAAGCTCTTTCGGGAAGCGAAGAGACGCATCCAAGTCATCTTAGCTGGTGAGACAGCGATGCTCAACCTTTCCTTCTGTCTTGGGCAGAGTCTGATTGGCTCACCTGAAGATGAAACAGGATTAACACCCCTTGCTCAGCCAGAGCGCGAGCTGAGAGTGTTCCGGGTGTGAGAAGCAGAAAGAGCATGTTGCATTTGGAAATCGAGAGAAAACAGTTGGGAGGTTATTACAGTACTTTAGGGGGTGTATTAGTTTCCTAGGGCTGCTTAATAAATCACCACAAACTTGATGGCATAAAACAATAGAAATTTATTCTCAGTTCCGGAAACCAGAAGTCCAAAGCCAAGGTGTCAGCCGGACCACACCCCCTCCGAAGGCTCTGGGGGCGTCCCTTCCTTGCATCTTGCAGCTCCTGTTGGCGTCAGGCATTCTGTGGCTTCCTTGTCTGTGGCCACACCGTCCAATCTCGACTCCCTCTTCGCATCACCTTCTCCTCGGCGTGTCTGTCGTCTCCTCTTCTGTCAAATATCCCGTGTGCCTCTCATGGGACAGGTGCCATTGGATTCAGAGCCCACCAGATAATCCTGAATGATCTCGTCTCCAGATCCTTCACTTAATTACATCTGCCAAGGCCCTTTTTCCAAATAAGGTCACATTCATAGGCTCTGGGAACTAGTACATGGACATACCTTTTGGGGGCCACCATTCAACCCACTATAGAGAATAGATCAAAATTTGGGGGACTATGTAATAATAAGATGTTTGCAATAATGTTTGAAATAACTTGAAATAGTAGACATGATAAAATAAACTTCTTTTAAAAGCAGAACTGCCCTGCTTCTCCGCCCCAGTCCTGCTTGGTGTTTGGTGAGTACCTGAGCCTTTCTGTGGCGGGTAGTTCTGATTAACTGCACGGCTTTTCTTGCTGAGCGTAGCGCTTTTAGAGCCAGAGTTAAATTGACCCAGACGTCAGAGGGACCAGGAGAAGCGGTATGGGGAAGGAGGGGAAGGAAAGCGGCAGCCAGTTGATAGCTGGAGAGAACTGAAGTTATGAAACGGATCCATTCCTTCAGTGACTGTATCTCAGGAAGCCCACGCACGCCAGCTTTGGGCTAGGTGCCGGGGCTCAGCGATACACAGCCCCTGCTCCCAGCAAGTGCGGGGAGTCACTTTCCCCGTGATGTTCAATGTCCACCTCTCCACGCTCTCTCTCCAAAATCTTCCAGCAAAATCTACACTGCTGCCCTGGCCGGTTTGGCTCAGTGGCTGGAGCGTCGGCCTGCGGTCCAGAGAGACCCGGGTTCAGTTCCCGCTAAGGGCATGTACCTCGGTTGCAGTTTGTCCCCGGCCCTGGTTGGCTTGTGCGGGTGGCAACCACTTGTTATGTCCCTTTCACGTTGATGTTTCTCTCTCTCTCTCTCTTCCTCTCTCTCCATCCCACCTTATCTGAACAAAAAATGGAAGGATGTCCTCTGGTGAGGATAAAAAAAATATAAAAAAATCTACACTGCTTTCTCGTCTCTGCAGATGAGCTTGAGGGAGGAGACGAGAAGAAATCCTGTCTCGTTCCCACACTGGAACGAGGCGAAGCCAGAGGCTCCTCCAGGAAACCACACGTGGTTAGCATGCGCCCCTGGGCCAACTGGGTGTTCTAGTTCAGCATCGACTTCCGCCTCTTCGGAAGCAAGAGCACTTTGACTTGCTTTTGGAAAATTACCTCTCCCCTATTACCAGCAGTTCTATTGGGACTGTCAGTCAAAGGGTTTTCCCTGAATTCCTAGCCAAGGGAAAGCGAAGTCCAAGCTGGGCCCATGAGACTCGGAGCTGAAGCCTAACGGGAAAGAGGGAAGCACGGACTCCAGGGGGGCTGACTTAGCCCAGCAGATGGGGTAAGGAGTGTCCCTGCTGCCTGAATCCAGGGGACCCTTCCATGTCAGGTTTCTCAGCAGACCCTTGGGATCCAAGGTATTCTGTATCCTTCCAATACAGTTCCTTTGGCTGAAGTTAACCAGAGTCCTTTTGGGGTACCAGCAATCAAAGAGCCCTAACTGATGGAAGGGATCAGGAAAGTTCAAAGCCTTGTCCTCCAGGTGATGAGGGCCTGCCGTGGGGAAGATGCATCTCACATCCTCAGAGTCAGGTTAATGCTTCTCTCTTGGGAGTTTCCACTGAAATCCATAGTGTCCCTTAAGCCAACCGTGACTGCACTTACTTAACAGGGACACTCACCAGTCAGCACCAGCCCTCAGGAAAAGCCGACACACTGGCAGGGAGAGAAGGGTCGAACCCATCTAGGTCAGCTGAAGGCTTCAAGCGGCACATCGCGCTTCGTAGACAGTTCCCCAGTGATCCTTAAGCCTTGCACCTAAATCCTGCACTCCCTGTGGGTCACTCTGGCTTGGATGGCAGTGACTTGGCAGGGGTTTCTCCCTTCTCATTGCATTTGCACAGGCCACAGGGGCACTGCTCAGAGAGAAAGCTGAATTCATACCTTCCCTCGCTCTCCCCAACTGCTCTTGCCTGCCTTCCGTCTACACTGGTATCCACACCTACGCGCAGATAATTACACGTTGCGGAGAGAAGCTGCTTGGCTGCTTTTTTGCAAGTATCTCAATTTCTAATCCATTCTTTCTAGTATCTCCAACCTCTCCTAGTATCTTCTTCCAGGAGACCATGACTCCCCTACATGAACAACAAAATCTTGAAGGCTCCCGAGAGACCAAGCTGTTAGCTGTCTTCCTCAACAGGCCGAATTCCTCCCCGACACATTACCCAGTCCAAATTTCAGTTGGGTGCAACACCCAGATAAGCACCTGGTACGTGGCGGGCACTGTGCTAAGTACGGGAATACAATCGTGGTAAGATGTTGACACTGTCCTCATGATGCTTCCAGACCACAGAGAAGACATTAAACAAATCACTGTAGGTGTGATGAGGGTCTAAAGCAGAGACCTGGGTGCCAGAGGACCACATGCGAGAGCCTCTACCTCGCCTACAGATCTATAAAGGCCTCTCCTTTGATGCAACGATGTCTAAGCTCGAGGGACCCGAAACACGGGGACAGAGTGAGCAACACTATTCGAGAATTGTTTCTCTTTCACTAGGGTCTTCTGCAAAGCTGTCCCCAATTCAGGAAGAGAGCATGTTCTAAAAGTTCATCTTCAAATTCATGGGTTTAGCATTCATAATGTATCTTCCCACAGAAACACACACATAGTGCTAGGTTCTCCAGCTGGTCCACCAGCACCCAATTATTTATAATGTGCTGCACCAACAATACCTATAAATAGCATCATTTTAACCAGTCTTGCTTGTTTCTATAGGAAATTTATATCAAGTGGTGATGTCCAGTGGAAACCTCTGTTCATAATCCCTCCCCTTCCTCATTATATCTCAGCAATTCTCTCATGGAGGTCTCTTCAATCCAGCTCCCAGCCCCCATCCCACTGCCGTGGTTCAGTCCAACCTTATACCTGTACCTAACCTTACACCACCTGCACCACAGCAACCCACTCAAAACTCCGCTATCTGGTCTGCAGTCCCGCCTCACGGCAGCACCTCCCCCAGTGTTCTGAAGCATCCAAAAATCCAGAAGTTCTGCATCCAGGAATGAATCCTACAGATATACTCCATCACGTGAACAGAAGTCAAGCTATGTCGCTATAACAGCAACAAATACTGGACATTCCTAAATGTCCAAGAGACCACTGGTTACAGAAGTTATGTAGTATCTCAAAGAGGGAGCAGAGGAGACATACAGAAACTTAGGACAGACAACCGTCAAGTTGTACATTTTAATTTACAATTTTTACCAATAAAAATGATTAGTTACAAAAAGGGAATTTCTCTACACAAAAATAAGGATTTTTTTTTTTTCATTCATAAAGAGAATCCACTGTCGTGTCTTGCCTTGCCAAATCAAATCCCAAACAGCTTGCTTAGCTAAAATTATTCCCAAGAGACAGGTAATCCAGACAAAATTAATAAAATTATCAGCTCCTAAACATGTTTAAGCGGAAGAACGTAATGAACGTTTTGCCTTGACCTGAAGAATTCTGTAACAGCCTTTAGAAAAACCTCCACTCTCAGGCAGTCGAGTTGCTAAGAGGGCGGATGAGAGACCCCAGCTCACTTACCATGAGACTCTTTTCCCGGAGTTTCACGCCTGCACACGGGGCACATGCAACATGGCGGGAACATGGCTTCCAGATTTTACAAGAGCGTTTTATTATGGCCACAGGTCAGCAGCAGAACACATGGCAGTTCAGGTTCAGATGCCCACACCTCCTATTCCACCGTATAAATTAAATGTGGAGAAGTACACACACCCAAACTTGATGAAAGAGGAGGAGCTGTTTGCAGATCCCCACTTCCTAAGACAACGCACATCACGTTTAGAGCAGGGCAAAGAGCAGTCACCCTGTCAGCACACATTTCCGGGATGGAAACCTCATCAACGTGTTCCAAGCCTTTTTAGTTGACTAAAGTATGGCAGCCACTCAACACGACTCCTACAATTTGGAATAAAAACATCAAATAAGAAACTGTGTGGGACACCATAGCCTTCAAAAAACTTTATTCGGGACAAGCCTAGGTCTGATGGAAAAGCCCACCTAGGAGAAGGAGCTGTGGTATTTACGTTGGTCTGATGTACATTCATGACTCAAAAACGCTCAAGACCCTCACTCACAATGATTCTAAAGCCATTACAACCCAAAATTATGTGATTCACTTAGATTTGGTTGGATTAGCTTAAAATATGATCAGACGGAGGATCTGATCTCCTCACAATAAACTGAAGTATGTGGCCTTTAAAGGGGGAGGGAGGTCAAAAAATGACAATTTAAATAGGGTATAAGGTTCTCCCGCCACTCTGCTCAATAAACATATATCCAGAATGAAAATGAAATGGAATCAATGAATCAATGCCCAGAGGCTTCTCAAAGACAGCATCTCCCTCGGGCCAATATGATTTGGAACTTTCTAGCACAGTACAACCCAGCTACTCTGGGTACACGCAAGCAGTGTCTCACACACAATATGGAAAGGGGTCATCCCACCACAGTCTACACCCAGCCCTGTGGAAGATGCAACTCCACTACAATTGTGATCATCTAGGGAAATGCCCAGCACCACCCTCGGGCCTGATTAACACCCGCTGCGGCCTCAGTGACCCTCTGGTGCTTGGTAAATAGGAACATCTGAGGAGGTGGCTGCAGCTGAGACCAGGTCACAGCGACTCCAAAGGCTGAGGAAAAGCTCTGTCCACTGTTCCAGTCTTCTCCCCTATGGTACAGTTCCGCCACCACAGAAGAAAGGTCTGAGCAAGGTTTTTGGGACTGAGCCTTGGCAAAAGTCAATAAATAAGAGAGCTTGTCAAAGGCAGAGCCATTTTACGGGCAACCTCCTCTAGCTGCAAATCTGGAGGCTGGAAAAAGTTAAGAGGGAGGCATGTGTGCAAGAAAGAGGTCAGCGTCCCTTCGACAATCATTTGGTGGCCCGACCCCATACGCCCAGGTTGGTGACAGCAGACCAGGACCCAGCAAAACCCATTATTCAGACGGAAAAGGAAGAGGAGACACCAGAAAATAGAGTTGCTTCTGAAATTTGCAGTTGACATTTGTTCTTCATAGCAGTAAGGACTTGTATAAGAATCACGAAACTTGAGGAACACATATTTTTCTCCAGGATTTAAAAAACGTTGTCTTGTACGGAAAGACTACATTCAGTGTGGGTCAGGTCCACCAGCGCTGGCTGGAACTCGGTAGTTAAGCACGCCCAGCACTGGGAGGAAAACATCTGAGCAGAGTGGCTGACGGGCAGGCTGGAGGCCACTCCTTCACTGGTCCCCAAGTCGAAAGCCCTGTCCCCAGTTGTGCCTGCCGCCTCCACCATTCTGATCAGCAGCTCGCCTCATGCTGGCAGGGGGCACGCCAAATCCTGACACCCCTCCTCTCCTGCTGGGCAGCCAGCGGTACCTAGAGCGGGGGGACAAGGGCGAGAAGACAACATCACTTGCGCACAGTTGTCAGACCACCTAGCGCAGCCCGTCCTGGGGCCCCTCAGTCTGTCACTCGGAATCGGATTAGTCTGGGGCCAGTGGAAGGCTGGAACAAGGTCCTATTCAGCTGCCCTTTCAGCACTCAGCTCACCGCCCTGCCCACAGAAGGCACTCACTTTCCCGTTTCTTAAACTGACTAAGTTTTCAGCTAAGTTCGCACTCTAAAAATTTTTTTTCTGATTATAAAAGTAATTCATGCAGAACAGTACAGAAACAAAAATATTACTCCCATAAGCCTGACCACCAGAAAAAACCACCTATATACAGTATTTTTATACATCTACATATGGATCAAAGGATACAAAATAAATTCACTTTCAAAGGACAAACGTGCAGCCCCCATGGCGTCTCCCCATGCAAGCCGCTGGTCCGCAGCGCCCAGCAGGGGGTCTGGAGAAGGCAGCCTTGGCCCTGGAGTTCAGGTGTGTTTCAAGTTTATCCATCATCTGCCCTCCCACTGCTTCATCTGAGATGGTGGCAAAGCTGAAGCCCAAAGACACTCGCTGGATCCCCGCCTTACAGTGTCATAAATTAAGAGTGACAGAACAGCTATGAGGACTTAAATCCAAGTCTAGCTTCCGTTTTACCTACAATTTCCCTTCCATAACTATTAGGAAACCGAGACTGTGTCTAAACTGATTCCACTTATCAGATCCTGAAGTTTAAAATTTTGCTTGAAGGCAGAGACCGGGATCTGATAGCCATTTAAACCAGGAGGGGTGACTTGCCCGCAGAGCACAGCCTGGCCAGAAAGCGTCTCCCCTACTTACACCAGGGACTGCGTGTCACTGAGTTCATCTCACCTGCACAACTCTAGGAGGTGGGCACTACTGTGAGCCCATTTCATACATGGGAAAACTGAGGCAAGATTGAGCAAAGCTCTTCTAAACTGATGGGCAGAATCCAAATGTGGGCAGCCCGGCTCTGGAGCCTGTACCTAACACCACCGACTGCACTCCAGGCCTCATGCTGCAATGGGTGACAGCGAGGTTCGGGTGACAGCAGCTGCTGACTCAGCCGTCCTTTGGTCACATCACCTCTGTGGTTTCATGCTCCCTCCCAGAAAGACAATGAGCCCCTTTTAGACAGTGAAATAGCTGTACAGCAGAGAAGAGGGTCTGTGTACTCTTCTAGACGGAATGCAGAATGGTGATGCATCTCAGAATTCTATAGCGTATCTTCCCCTGTCAACGAACACAGCTCTAGCTTTAAATCAAAATGCATTTCCAAGCACTGTTTCTCAACATCGGTGTCGCCCTGGTATAATCATATTCCTGCAAAGTATATAATAAAATAGAACACTCAAAACAGGCAATGCTAGGGCCTTCTTGCTTTGGTTCTTGCTGTAAGACAATATGGAAGCCATCTCCATTGCTTAAACAGATACTGAAATTAAATGCAAGTAATTAGTATAAAAAGATACCCAATTAGACATAATCAACAAAAATTTATGGTAATTTCAAAGCAGTTACTGTTTTTTCAAGGAGCTACATTTTGTCATCTGATCTTTATGTAAAAGGAACAGAAGGCCTCCCCCAGCAGAGACAGCTCGAATGGAGGCAGGCCCCAGCGTGCTGCTGCCGCTAGAATCTCGTGCACTTTGTTGCCCACAGCTGAGAAGATCTTCAAGCCGTTAAGTCAGAATATGGCCATTTAAAGTATAACAACTGTTGGCTCCCCCCCAAAGCACCGAGTTTTCTTTAATTGCCGCATCTGCCATCTGACTTGATAGACCTAGATCAAAAATCCAAGCCTGCTGTTACTGTGTGCCCTTTGATAATTAGAAAGCAAACTGGTCATTTGTTTTTTTTTCAGCCTAGAGGCAACTCAAGACTTAGAAGAGAAATAAGTTTCTTCGTATGCTCTTAAGGGAAAACCACAAACCAACCGTACAACAATAGTGTACTTCTCTGTCTGTGAATTAAATTTCACAATGAAATTCTTTCAAAAACCTATCCCTAACCTAAAAAAGGGGGTGGGGGGAACCTACTCAAGTTTGACTGCCCTCATGGCCCCTCGGAAGAATGACAAACTACAAAATATTAAAATCAGCAAGATGTGAAAGGGGCTGGGTGTGTGAATGAAGCTGTTACTGCACACCCCCAGCTGGAGACCGGGCGTGACTGTCAGGCAGGCTGGGACACCCAGATGGTGATGTCACAGGACCCTTCTTCAACAAGATCCTACTTACTACTTACACGCTTGCGGGTGTCAGCACCTCCCCTGGCTCATCGGCACCTCTCCTGCCCTCAGCCCCGATTTCAGGAACAGCCGAGAGCCCGCTGAGTACCCACTCCCGTGCTGCCAGCAGTCCCTGAGCCGGGGCTCCCCCCAACTCACTGACTCGCACCTGAAGCCTGGAGCCTTCATTAAGTACATTTCTCAGTGTCAAAACTGGCGAATGAGGGGAACGGGATTCCAATCCAAGTCTGTCTCAAAACCAAAGCTGTGCCCGAGGCCTCCTCGCCTGAGGAAACCCTAAAGCAGAGGACTGTATGAACCTCAAGTCTTTCATTTCACCTCTGAAAAGTCCCATAAATAGCCTCACCTATACTATTTAATAGGAAAGTGTGTTACATTGCTGACCAGTCAGCTAACGTACCCCCTTCCTCACCCAAACTCCTGGGGAACTGTGGGCACCGCAGCCCGCCGCTGCTGCGCACACAGGAGCTGCCCACTAGTGCCCGCCTTCGCAGCTCCTGTGATGCCCGAATCTAGTCGCAGTGGCCCCTGGCCAGGCTCCCTGAGGAAGACTGGGCTGTGGCTTCCGTTCCTGGCTTCCTGTGGCTCTGTGACAAGGGCAACTCATTTGCTGGCTCACAGTTTTCCATCAGACAGAGAGGTGAATCCTACCCCTCGTGGAGCTTTTATCAGAACACACATGAACACAGGCAGTAAAATGATCGCTAAACAAGAGAAGGAAAAAAAGAAACACTTACAAAAACTGAGGTGTGGATAGAAAATTTCTTCCTCCCAAGTCCATTGGGTATCTGAACATCAGGAAGAAATAAAGATGTCCAACCAGATTTCCAATTAGCTCATTGATGACCCTGTGAACAGAGAGCCAGATCAGTTTAAAGACATTCCAGCACGGAGGTGCAGTAAGTTTTGACCCATAGCACAGGGAGAAGACCCTTCATGGCAACCCATCACTGGTCCCTGGGGGTCTGTGACAGCTTGACAATGAGCCCTTTTGTAGTCTGAGTGGCAAATGGATTCTGAGGGAGAAGGGAAACCAGTCCTGCTGGATCGATGGGGTCTGTGCTCCTCAAGGCCAGCTGCCCCTCTGACATCTCTTTCAAGCCCCAGCTCATCCTCAAAATATTGTTTTTGCCACTTCCTGCCTTAAGAGTTGGGGAAGTTGCAAACTTTTGAATGCTTGCAGGCAAAAATACTGTGTTTGCAAATCGGGGGCCAACAATGAAGGCCCGCAAGAAAGAACGGGGGCAAGGAGAGCAGAGGCCGGGAATGCCTGCTGCCCGGTCCTGGCGCCAGTGAGCACGCTCCTTCGCCTCCTGCATCCTGTGTAAGATACCATGGCGATCGCTTCGGAAAGGCGACCTTCACCTTGCAATCCTAAAATAAGCACTGACCTTCTTCAGCTTTCCCATGGCTTACATGGAGGCCACTGCAAGGTTTTATAGATCCACTCTTACTATTAAATTTCCTCCTCTGTCTTCACTGCAACATGATTCCTGACAGAGACAAACCAGCACATGCAACTGCACCCAGCGCTGCCCTTCTGGGGGCACAGGGCAGCCCTCCCACACTCAGAACTGGCCAAGCTCTGAATACAGTCTACTTGCTTGGTTCACTCATTTCTCCCTGTCAGTGTGCAGGAGAAGCGAGGACCACACACCGCAAACACGGACTGTGTCCGTCTTAGTGAGCCGGACTAAGAACTAGCACTGTTAGAATCTACTGAAACATTCCCAGTATGCTGTAGTGCAGGACATGGGAGCTCTCAGGATAGCTGCCTGTTGCTGTCCTCCTCCTAGAGGTCTGACTGGATGCAGTCAAGGTTTTCCTAAGTCTTCGTTCTCACTCCAGACTAGAAATTTAACCCTGTTTGGTCAAAACTTCTGAACTATCCAACCATTTACAAAGCTACTTCTCATCTGAGAAGATGCATTTCTGTGACTGGTGAGTTTTAAGCATTAAGATTGAAAAACATAGTTACTGTATGCACAGGTCTTAGGTGAGTCAGTTCAGATAAATCAGGTCTATGTTCGCTCAATCTGGAGAGTGAATCCAGAAATGAGTAATTACTCAAAAACACATGTGGAAGCATACTGTCATAAAGAGCTAACCACAAAACACAATCATTCAATGCTAAAATGCACTTCAAGCTTTGCAATTAAATCAGTTACATCAAAATGAAATTATTTTGTAGTTATAAGGTTCCAAAGCATCAATGTTGAGATTCTTTAAGTTTCATAAAAAGTTTCATAAAAAGAAAAGGAAGATAAAAAAGAAAGGAAGTCATCCAAGGATTAGTTTCCAATTAAATAAACCTAATAGGGGACACTATTTGGCTTTGCGCCTGAATCGGTGCTTTGCAAATAGCTTTTCTTATGAATTCAAATAAATGCTTGTTGCCTCTCCAGAAATAAATAAATAAATCTAATATCACTTACGAGCCTCCAATGATGTAGTTGAACCCAAGGATAACCCAAGGCAAGTAACAGGCCTAGAAAAGAACAGAGACACGCAGGAGTGGCCACACCAAAAGAGGATACAGAGTGGGCAATGAACTGACAAGCGCCTTAGGAATCCTTTGCAAAGTCACGCCCCAAATTTCTCAGCGCAGACTAGCATCATTCCTATTATACTTGAAACTTCCTATCTAAATACTTATTCATACATTAGTAACTGGAGAGAGAGCTCTTTGCTGATAGTTACTTTTTTTTTTATCCTCACCCAAGGACATTTTTCCATTTTTTGTTCAGACAGAGTGGGAAGGAGAGAGAGGGAGAGAGAGGGAGAGAGAGAGAGAGAGAGAGAGAGAGAGAGAGAGAAACATCAACATGAAAGGGACACATTGAGTGGCTGCTTCCCGCATGACCCAACCAGGGCCAGGGACAAACTACAACCGAGGTACAGTGCCTTAGTGGGAACCAAACCCAGGTCTCTCTGGACCGCAGGCCAATGCTCTAACCGCTGAGCCAAACCGGCCAGGGCTTTGTTGATAGTTTCAAGTGCAATACATGTCCTGCTGAATCAATATTAACAAACAGCTCCAGGAAGTGGATGAGCGTCCTCTGGTCATCCACTTAAAAACGTGGTTTATAATAGAATCACATTAAGACTCCAACCAGCATATTGTTACCAGTCACTTTAAAATGCCCCATCTTTTCTGGTTCTCCTTTTACATATTTCAAAAAATTACTTGAATTTTTATTTCTTTACACACTGACATCTTGAACTGATACTCTCCGGAATAAGACAGTTCTCCAGATGAACTGAACACCCTACCAAGAGTTAAGGGAGTTGCGAGAAACTTTACAAACCAGTAAAGAAAGGGTTATACCTGCCCTGGCCGGTTTGGCTCAGCGGTTAGAACGTCGGCCTGCGGTCCAGAGAGTCCTGGGTTCGGTTCCCGCTAAGGGTACATACCTCGGTTGCAGTTTGTCCCTGGCCCTGGTTGGTCGTGCGGGTGGCAGCCACTCAATGTTTCTCTCCCCCCCGCCCCCCACTCTATCTGAAGATAAATGCAAAAGTGTCCTCGGGTGAGGATTAAAAAAAAGAAAGAAAGAAAAAAGAAAGGGTTATACCTAAATAACTCGAAGGCAGACGTGGTAAGCACTGTAAGAGGAACACGGAATACTGCAGAAGCCCAAAGGCACAATTAATGCCAGACAGGTGACTTGTGCAGTAAGTATGTTCAGTTAACAGACAGGATTTGCAGGAGGAAGATAACAGAAAAAAGTTACAGCTGGAAAATTGTGAGAAGAGGCACAAAAGAAGTGTTTGGAGGCAAAAAAAATCCCACAATTTTTTGCCAAGGTGTAAGATATGTAACAGGCAGTGATGAGAACAGAGTTTAAAAGAGAGGGCTTCAGATGAGGACCCTTCCTTCCCTCCCTACCACACACAGGAGATCACTCAGGGACGCAGGGCTGAGGGGCCTGAGGTAAGGGAGTGAGAAGTGACAGCAAAGGACTCTGGGTCAGCTGAGGAAATACAGGGACTGAGAAGGTGAGAAGGAGCTTGCCTATGGTATACTGCTCTGCACTGACCTCTTCTGGACGAGTCAGAAAGCACACCTCTGGGCTGAGGAGGGATTTCTGCAAATGAAAAGGAAAATTTCCCAACGAGGTTTAAGTACCTTAAATCGAGTTCCGAACCAAAATGACACAATCATGTCTCTGTTCAGCTGGGCCCAGACATAGAGCACCGACATGATCAGAGGGATCATCAGCAACTGCAAAGAAATCAACATGTAAGGACCGAGCTCCAGAAGCTCTGCACAGGTTTAGTATGAATCTACCTTTTTTTTTAAACCTCTCCCCTCCAAACAAATCCTCACATGGCCATTCAAAAAGCAAAAGGAAATTCAACCTATCAGGATTATAAGTTGATCCTTTTAATGAATCATACAAAGTGTGCTACAAAATCCTATCATAAAATACAACACTTATATTATTTTAGATAGACTCAGAAATATCAGGGCCAAGCTCTGTTACTTGAAAAAAGTAGGCATAACGTTTTACTTACTGTATATTCTCAATTTTTAAAAAATGTATATCCACGTACATGTATAGAAAATACTGGACGCCCTGGCCGGTTTGGCTCAGCAGTTGGAGCATCAGCCCACAGACCAATGAGTCACGGGTTTGATTCCAGTCAAGGGCACGTACGGGAGGCAACCAGTCGATGTGTGTGTCTCTCACATCGATGTTTCTCTCTCTCCCCCTCTCTCTCCCTCTCTTCCACTCTATCTGATGATAAATAGGAAAATATCCTCAGGTGAGAATTAAAAAAAAAAAAAAGAAAGAAAAAGAATGAAAAGAAAATACTGGATAGCCATCATCCTCAATGTTCAATGTTTAAAAAAGCCAGAAATGAGTAAAAGTGAAGTTTAGTAAGATCTTCAAAATAAAAACAGCTATAATTCTATCATTTCAAAATACCACATAATTAACCACATAGTTAATGCAATTTCAACTTCTGTCAAAGGCCTTGAATTTTATTTTTGAAACATACAAAAGGGCAGATGGATAGTTACCACTCACCTGCATGTCCATTGCTAAGCCAGTAATCTTGGTTTGTAAAGTTAAAGATCAGACAGAAACAAAGCATTCTGCACCCAGCCAAAGTTCATTTCCTTCCAGTCTCTGAAGGAACACACTTTTCTATAGTTCAGGTGGCTTAAAACAGTCTGAGCACAAAGGTGTCTAATAATCTTCACTCTGAATATTCTATGAGACTACACGACGACAAGGAAAGGTGGAAAGTATCTGCTTCAGAATACGACTCAGTTTGGTCACCTGTGTCCTCTTTCGCTTGCCTCACCTCTGCACTGGAGCATCTCTCCTTTAATTAGAAGATGGAGACACCTGTGCCCTCTGGAACAAATAATGCTTCTACACGTCAGGCCTCCACAGTGTGGCTGAAGTCCAAAATATTTTTTTTTCTTCTTTTCAAGGAGGGAAGGGCATCCAAAGTGTCACATTTTCTGGCTCTTAGCCATGTGTCAATGGAAGCTAAACCCCAAAGCAAGGACTTGAGCCACCAAGTCCCTTTGCCATCTGTGAAGGTCCGCAGCTGGAGGGCTGCTGACAGCTGTGGATGAAACACAGCAGAGACATGCTGTGTCCTTTCCCAGAGCCGGGACTTAGAGGGACTGCCTTCCTACCCAGGACCTCAAGACAAGGACAGCAATGAAGTCAGAAAAGGGTGCTGGTTGTAAATTAATTTTCTGGCCCTCGCCAGTGTGGTTCAACGGCTAGAGTGTCAGCCTGCAGACCAAAGGGTTGCAGGCTTGCTCCCCAGTCAGGGGCACATATCTGGTTTTTAGGTTAGATCCCCGGCCCTGGTCGGGGTCATGTGGGAGGAAACCAATCGATGTGTGTCTCTTACACTGATGTTTCTCTGTATGTGTGCATCTCTCTCTCTCTCTTACATTGATGTTTCTCTCTCCCTCCCTTCCATTCTATCTAAAAATCAATGGAAAAATATCCTCGGGTGAGGATTAACCAAAAAAAAAAAAAATTAATTTTCTGATCCGGACCAGATTTCAAAAGCTGTCTCAGGGCCTGGAACCTCTTTGTGCTGCATTCAACAAGCTGTCACACATGAGAACACAGAGAACTGGGAACAAGAAGCGGCAACAGCAATAAAGCCCCACTGAATGTGGGAAAATCCGAGAGGCCATGGCAAGAAAACACGTCACTCGGGGACCATGTGCCTTACTACAGCGTTTAAGAACTTACTTATTCTTAATTATAAACTGTAGTAAACAGAGATGCAAATACTGTCATGTGAACACTGTCTATTTTCCCAAACCTGGAAGAGAAACCAAACTGGTGTCTTTCTGGCCCAGAGTGGCCGCCAAGGATACGACGATGCACGCCCAGTTGAAGAGGAGCATGAACAAGTAGTCCGCCGGCCTCCCGTCAAAAGCTCCTGGGAACAGGAAAAAGCCAAATGTCACGGTTCAGAATTTCAGAACAAAAGTAATCACTTCTACATAGAGAACTACTTCAAAAATTATAAAGGAAGCCAAAATGAGAATATTTTAAAATCACTCCTCTCCAATAAGAGTAAATGTTTTAAAATATCTAAATCTGTATCTCAATAAAGCCCGGAACTGTGGTCACCTAGGAAGGCTAACCTGGGTTTTCCAACTGAATTCCCGTGCGCACCTCGCTCTTCAGAGCAGGGGCTAAGACACCCAGTTACTGAGCGCCATCACGGCCCGTCGGCCCTTCCTTGACAGCGCATCACAACTCAATCACACGTGTGGTCACTTGGTTAATCTCCTCCTTGCATTAGACTGTGAGCTCCGTCAGGGGAGGAACCGCACGTCTTGCCTACCACTGAGTCCCCCACAGCAGAACTATGCTGGGAGGTACTCCCTGTTATTATTAGACACACACATACACAAAACCACTTAGTCCAACACTGGGCTTCCTGAGAAGATTCGGTCTCCATTGTCCAGGAGCTTACACTGCAGGAAGAGACAATTGTGGGGGTAGGGGGTGGGGGACAGCCAAACCTTTTCATAGCCTCTGACTCTTAACCTCCACACTACATCTGTGAAATAGAATGGAAAGACCTAGATCCCCTTTCAACACATGGGGAAAAAAAGTTACGTGAGCAAAGTCACATGGCTTGTTAGAAGCAGGGTGGAGTCTAATGCCTGGTTCAGTGCTCCTGTCACTGCACCATGTGCCAACCTCTGTCTTATCACTGGGCACAAAGATCACCACCGCCCAGCTCCCCGTCTAAGGGAGAGCCCTGCCTTTGGTTGGGAGACTAGAAGAAAGGCAGAGAAAAGAAACAAATGAGTAAAGTAAGGTCACTCTAGCTCAAGCACTTACCTTCCCTCCCTCCAATTTAAAACAAGCCTGACAAGTGTCAGAAAGGCAGAAAATAAATACATTTCCAACAAATGTCTCTCCTTTCTCCCTTGTCTCTCCCCTGGCACCTCAAAGGCACACTTTGGCCACAGTGTTAAGGATGCTTAATGGTAAGGATCACTCTGATGAATCAGAGCTGAAATTCTAATAAATGTTTCCGAATTTTAATGATAGTTCTGCTTCTTTCTGATATGGTTTTGGCTTTGTTGATTTCTAAGGATTCTTTAGGTTGAAATCTTAAAATATTGCACTCACATAAACTACGGTACTTTATTCTTTGGCAAGATGACAACAGGGAATATACAAATTAACTGGCCTTGAATTGCAGTCTTCGGTTTAAATAAAAAAATAAGCCAACACTGCTACATACTAATTCAGCCAGGCAGGAAACATGCACATAGAAAACAATTCGTCACAATGGTCCCTTGAGGCTGTATGGTGCAGGGAAGACTGAGGGTCAGCAGATCTGGGCTGCAGTCCGAGCTGTGCTATCTCACAAGGCTTTGTGGCCTTTGGGACACGTCACCTCTCTCCAGACCATTGCTTTCTTGACTATAAAATCTGATTTAAACGAAAAGATCTTAGAAGTTCCTCTCTACACGAATGTTCATAGCAGCATTATTCATAACACCCCAAAAAAGAAAAGTCAAATGTCCCTCAACTGATAAATGGAAAAACAAAATGTGGTAATGGCATACAAGAGAATCTTATTTGGCAATAAAAAGGAATAAGGATTAATATATGCTACAAGGAAGAACCCTGAAAACACAATGGTAAATGAAAGGTTGTCACAATTCCAAAGACCATGAATTGTATGGCTCCGTTTACAAGAAATGTCCAGAATTACACACTTTCAAATGGTTAAAACTGTAAGTTTTATGTTAAGTGATTTTTTTTCTCAATAAAAAGAAAAAAAAGGTTCATTAACCTTTCTCTCTAATAAATGCTTGAAAATTTTCTATAATAAAAATTTTAAAAACTGGTCATGGGTCATCTATGCTTAATCTAGAGTTTACTAGATAGATAGATAGATAGATAGATAGATAGATAGATAGATAGACAGACAGATAGATAGATGATAGAGATATAAATAAATTACTCAAACAACTTAATCCTCAATTAAATCACATCAGTACGGTAGAATGCTAAGCAAGTCCATATCATAAGCAGGTCCCCCTGGGACAAGAGGGAATGAAAATCATCTATTCTGGTGGATTTTAGGATCACACCCTTGATATGGGACAAGGGTCCTGTTGTGATCTCACCTCAGCCAAATTCACTTCCTTGAAGTTCCTGCTCTTCCTGGATTAAACTAAAACAATGGGCTAGGTCCCTCCAAGTAGTAACAGTCTATGACCCAACACTTTGTATTAATGTAACGATTTCTTTCTTTTTAAAAAGCACCTAGTTGCAAATACCAATTTTTTAAAAACTTGTATTTGACACGTAAGTGCCCGCTCTTCTGGTTCCCTGCAGTCAGGAGACTGGTCCGCAATGCTCACACTAACAGATCTAAGGGGAGTGCGGCAGTCCACGCCCTGAGCTAACCACCAGCAGGTTTACAAAGTCTGCAGCCAGCCATCCTTTGCAAAATCATTACGTTCACATTCTGACACAGCAGCATCAAGTTATTGCTTCTCAGGATGAGCAACTCAGAACAGCATATAAGATACTTTAGGAAATAAGTAATGATCAGTAAGAAACCTTGTAAGAAAAGATTTTTATAAGAAAACTTATCCATAACATCGTATATGGAGTCATATCTGATAAACTATCATATTACTAAACCCTAGTTATGTATTTTATCTTATTATTTTTGTTCTCCATTTTTTTTCTCAATTTTTATTAATTTATTTTTGTTACAGATGTTTCTCTCCCCCCCAGACCCCCTCCTCCCCATCCCGCCCCCCACCCCCAGCACTGCCGTCCACGTCCATTGGTTACGCATACATGCATGTAAGTTCTTTGCTTTGCCTCATCCCTGGTTATGTATTTTAAAGTTGAGTGTTTCAATTAGAGAATACGTCTAGGCTTTTAATTGCACAGTGTTCTTCAGCCTCAGCCCAGGAGACACGTGCACTTCAGCCCAACTGTGCACTAAAGGACAAGGACTGCTGTGCGACAGGAGCGAGAGGCCAAGTTCAGTGCAAGGCAAACAGCGCAGCCACTAAGGGCCTGGGCAAGATTTATAAACCCCTGGTCTTCTTGGGGTTTGTTTGTTTTTACATCTATGAAATGGGGACACTAATATTTATACTCCATGATGATGATGTGAGGATTAAAAACCAAATATTCTAAATGCCTGTCACAGCCCTGGCACAGCTACCACTTCCTGAGCACTTACTATCATCATGCCCTTTCTTTACACATGCACCGTCCTCAAAATTCCTCCAAGTAAACATACGGATTAGTAAGTTAAACAGAAACAGTACAACAATTACAGATAACGTACCTGTTTCGAGTCGTGTAGAATACTGATATAAGAAATATAAATTGACCAAATAAAGAAATCCAGTTCCTGGACCCACAGGGAAAAAAAAGGTGGCAGTGATTGGTCTCCAAATCTGTCCAGATCAAAATAAACACAGCTGTTAGTCTCTTTTAGCCTGGTCAATTGTTTTTTTTCTTTCTTTTAATGATACAAAACACTCTTCAATGATGAGAGCTACGAAAGGGACACAACTCCAATATCATTCAAGAAAACAGAAGAAAAGTTCGTATCAGTTACAATCACATCAGTATGCAAATCAATGAATGAAAACAATATCATAAAATAAGCAATGACTATTTCTAAGCAAGTGGGAAAAATTCAATACTGTAGAAGTAAATGGTTAGTCTTCCCTGGAATAAAGCAAACAGTTAATCCTGTCAAAAATGAATTACAAGGACAATTCCCAACAGTACAGGAATATCTCCATTTAGGAAAATACTACTACTACTCACATGACAAACCTTGTCAAAAAATATCATATTCAAAAGGTAGAAAATAAGAATTTTTTTTTTTTACCCAAATCACTGTGCTAGTTAGGCAATACAGACGCTTAACTTTATAATATTAACTCTCCCAAAATAAAAAAATAAAATAAAAAAATCACAGAATGTTCTACATTGAAAAGTAAGCCTCTCTCCTGATCCTCAGTCTCTCAGTTTCCTTTCCAACAATGGGTCGGTTTCTTGTATTTCGTTCAAGAAATAATAGTATGATCATAAAGGCCATATATGAAAGACCTACAGCCAACATCATACTCAATGGACAGAAACTAAAAACATTTCCATTAAGAACAGGAACAAGACAGGGATGTCGACTTTCGCCACTCTTATTTAACATTGTACTGGAAGTCTTAGCCACAGCAATCAGACATGAAGAAAAAATAAAAGGGATCCAAATTGGAAAAGGAGGAAGTGAAACTGTCATTATTTGCAGATGACATGATATGATACATAGAAAACCCTAAAGACTCCATCAAAAATATACTAGACTTGCCCTGGCCAGTTTGGCTCAGCGGTTAGAGCGTTGGCCTGCGGTCCAGAGATACCTGGGTTCGGTTCCCGCTAAGGGCACGTGCTTCGGTTGCAGTTTGTCCCCGGCCCTGGTTGGTCGTGCGGGTGGCAGCCACTCGATGTGTCCCTTCACATCGATGTTTCTCTCTTTCTCTCCTTCCTCTCTCTCCCTCCCACTCTATCTGTACAAAAAATGGAAAAATGTCCTCGGTGAGGATAAAAATAAAAAATATACTAGACTTAATAAATGAATTTGGCAAAGTAGCAGGATACAAAATTAACGTCAAGAAATCGATGGCATTCTTGTACACCAATGATGAACTCACAGAAACTGAAAAAACAATCCCATTTACCATCGCGCCAAAAAAATTACGATACCTAGGAATAAACTTAACCAAAGAAGTAAAGGACCTATTTGCAGAAAACTACAGGTCATTGAAAAAAGAAATAGAAGAAGATATAAAAAAGTGGAAGTACATACCCTGTTCATGGATTGGAAGAATTAACATCATTAAAATGTCCATACTACCCAAAGCAATCTATAGATTCAATGCAATCCCCATCAAAATACCAACGACATATTTCAGAGAACTAGAACAAATACTTCAAAAGTTCATATGGAACCAAAAAAGACCCCGAATAGCCACAGCAATCTTGAAAAACAAGGACAAAGTAGGTGGGATCACAATACCAGATATCAGGTTATACTACAAAGCGACGGTAACCAAAACAGCCTGGTACTGGCACAAAAACAGGCATATAGACCAGTGGAACAGAACTGAAAACCCAGAAATGGACCCAAGGCAATACGCTCAACTAATATTTGACAAAGGTGGCAAGAGCATACATTGGAGTAAAGACAGACTCTTTAATAAATGGTGTTGGGAAAATTGGACAGCTACATGCAGAAAAATGAAACTCGACCATCAACTTACACCATACACCAAAATAAACTCAAAATGGATAAAAGACTTAAATGTGACCCGTGAATCCATAAAAATTCTAGAAGAAAATGTCGGCAACAAAATTTCGGACATCATACGGAGCAGAATTTTCACTGATACATCACCTAAGGCAACAGAAACAAAGGAAAAAATGAACACATGGGACTACATCAAACTAAAAAGCTTCTGCACAGCAAAAGAAACAATCATCAAAATGGAAAGGCAACCCACTGTATGGGAGAACATCACTGCCAATGATGTATCAGATAAGGGGTTAATTTCCAATATATATAGAGTGCTCATACAACTCAACAAAAGGAAGACAAAGAACCCAATTAAAAAATGGGCAGAGGAGCTGAATAGACACCTCTCCAAACAGGACATACAAATGGCCAAGAGACATATGAAGAAATGCTCAACATCACTAATCATCAGAAAGATGCAAATTAAAACAACAATGAAGTATCACCTCACACCTGTCAGAATGGCCTCCATCAACAAATCATCAAACAACAAGTGTTGGCGAGGGTGTGGAGAAAAGGGGACTCTAGTACACTGCTGGTGGGAATGCAGACTGGTGCAGCCACTATGGAAAACAATATGGTGTTACCTCAAAAAATTAAAAATTGAACTTCCATTTGACCCAGTGATCCCACTTCTAGGAATATACCCTAAGAAGCCTGAAACACCAATCAGGAAGAATATATGTACCCCCATGTTCATAGCAGCACTATTTACAATAGCTAAGATCTGGAAACAGCCCAAGTGTCCACCAGTAGACGAATGGATAAAAAAGCTGTGGTACATATACACAATGGAGTACTATGCAGCGGTAAGAAAGAAAGATCTCTTATCCTTTGAGACGACATGGAGGGACCTGGAAAGTATTATCCTAAGTGAAATAAGCCAAGCAGAAAAAGACAAATACCACATGATCTCACTTATATACGGAATATAATGAACATAACAGTCTGAGGAATACGGTAGACCCAGAAACATGGAAGTAGGACACAGACTGACATCACTCAGAAGAGGGGGTGGAGGGGTAGGAAGAGATAAACCACAGAACTTATATGCATGTATGCATGACCAATGGACATGGACAACTAAGCCAGGGACGGGGCGGGTGTGGGTGGGGAGGGGGGTGCCAATGGGGTAAAAAAGGTGAAATATCTGTAACAAAAAAATAAATAAAAAATTTAAGAAAAAAAAAAAAAAGGAAATAATAGTATGTGTTAATATTATCTATTATCCATCCCCTCTCATTGTACCTTATATCACACTGCTCTATACCTAGTTCCCTCAAAAATATATTTATTGCCTTCACAGGATTCCTTTTAGATGTCTAAACTTCATTCAAACTGTTACAATGCCACAATGAATGTTCTTGAATATCCTCTTTTTTTTTTTTTTATCCTCACCCGAGGATATTTTTCCATTTTTTGTACAGATAGAGTGGGAGGGAGAGAGAGAGGAAGGGAAAGAGAGAGAGAAACATCGACGTGAAGGGACACATCGAGTGGCTGCCACCCGCATGACCAACCAGGGCCGGGGACAAACTGCAACCGAACGTGCCCTTAGCGGGAACCGAACCCGGGTCTCTCCGGACCGCAGGCCGATGCTCTAACCGCTGAGCCAAACTGGCCAGGGCTTGAATATCCTCTTTATACATACACATATAAATTACAAATTTCTGAGTCATTCTACTAGATCAGACATTTGTAGATTAATGCCTGTCTTCTCTCCACACCCTCACCAGTTAGTGTATTTTATATCACCAATCATGTTTCTAAAACTTTAATATTCTATTTCTTCATTTTCCTACTAGACTTAAATTTCTTTATAAATTAATGAAAGTTTCCTTTGTTACTGCTGCAGATAGTTTCTGGACTTATTAGACTTATGCATTTATGATATTTTTGCCATATTTGACATGTAAAGGTTTAATTTAATGTAGGCAAATGTATCATGCTTACGAGATACTTCTCCACTCCAAGAAGATAAAAGAGCTCACAGTGTTATTTTAGTACAAGCATGGTTTACCTAAGGAGTGAGAAAGAGATCTACCTTATTTCTCTAGACAGTCATTCACTTGTCCCTGTCCTATTTACAGACTAACCCATCGTTTCTCCATTGATTTGAGAAAGTACTTTTATCATATATATATTCCTTTTTATATTAAGGTCTACTTTTAGACTATTCTGTTTGGAACTGAACTCCTACACCAATACCAAGCTATTTTAATGTCTAGTTTTATAATATGTTTTCATACTTGGCAAAGTTACATAATTAAATAATTCCCCTCCTGTTTTTCTTCCACGTGTGTCACAATTTTCTTGGCTAGTCTCATTTTATTTTTCTAAATGAACAGGAACCAGCATCTGTATGGTATCAGTGTGATACCAGCCAGGAAGAAGTCTTTCACGGCATTTATAGTTTTCCACAGAGCTGCTGCCTCCTACCTCTTCTTTATTTTATTTTATTTTTTTAATCCTTACTTGAGGATTTTTTTCTCTTTATCTTCAGATAGAGGGGGAGGGAGAGAAAGGGAGAGAGAGAGTAACATCGACGTGAGAGGGACACATCAACTGGTTGCCTCCTGCACAACCCCAACCAGGGCCGGGGACAAACTGCAACCCAGGTACGTGCCCTTGGCCAGAATCAAACCTGCAACTCATTGGTCTGTGGGCTGATGCTCTTACCTCTTCTTATACCCTAACCATTAAAGCTGAATTATCTTATCTATAATATTTGAAAACTAAGCCTCTTGGGCTTCCCAAGTACAGAACTCTATCTGTAAATAAAATTGTGCATCTTATTTCATTCTTATCTAACTACCTGCAGAACATGTTAAACCATAGTGGTGGAGGTAGAGGGCCGTCCCAGACTTTTGGCAATGCCAGCATAATGCTGGCTTTGGCTTGAGAGCAGTGTCTTACTCACAAGCACAAAAGGCATAGCCACCACTCAGGGAGTTCACAGTGAGGGAGGCTTCCCCGAGAAGTAAGAGTGAACACAAGGGAGGGAAAGTGTGGTCTTGGAAAAACGAGTACCAAGTCCCAAAGAATGGCATCAGCACAATATATAAATGAGTACTGCTAACAATCGGAGTGGGGCTG